GGAAATTGTCATCTAATATTATTTTAGTTGTCATTAGGAATTCGCCGCTGTGCTGACAACTATAATATTATGGTGTTCAAGAAAATTTCATTGCAGTAAACTGATGTTGGAACGTTAAAACAAACTTTTATTCAAGTGTTTCAACGCTTTTCATATTTTGACGGACAGGTATCACAGCTGGTCGACTAAAACAATTCCTCAGTACTTCTTACATTTTCGCTTAAACAGTTCAATTAGGCTTTCGTAGTGTTCAAATCGTTTAAAGCTTTTTCTTTTGTCCAAGCTAAAGTAACTTCATCGGCACTACTTCCGCCTTGGATATCCGAGAACAAATTGTAATTCTCATCATCTAACATACTTTTAGCTCTAGCATACCTGAATCAATTCAGTCGAATTTTCTATTTTTTGTTCTTTACCTTGCAACATATGGACGTCCATGTGCTCCATTTGTGGAATAGTTATCCATCAAAGGGGTAGAAACTTCGAAGATATCAGGTCTCCAAGATTTTATAACATATAACATGGCTTCAACTATCATTCCATTTTCCAATTCTATCTGAACATATATCAATCGATTTGTTTCCCCGGAATGAATTACTGGAACATCTTTGCGATCGTATAGCCTAGGATAAGCTTCCAATTCGTCTAAAACTTCCAGCTTTTCCGCATCTACTTCATAAACTTCACCATTAATGAACTAAAAATATTGTTTTACTGCTTGAAAAGAATAGTAATTAACCCACCATCCCCGAGTTTGGCTGGTTGAGCATCATTGGAATGTTGAACTCGGAAGAAACAATGAGAGGGAACTTTATTGTTGTTTTACCACGTCCTAAGAATTTTTCAAAGCCTTTGGTCTCTTTGAGTACATGATGGTTTGGTTCACCAACTTTGAGAGTTCCATAAACGAAGACTCGGAACAACTTGGAAACCATACCTTAAATGAGTTTTTAGCAAAGAATTAACTTCAAGAACATTGGAGAGAAAACCATGTCATAGCAATAATATCGATTTCAAAAGTGTCATTGATATACTTCCTTTCCTCTCAGACTATCTCTTAATGGTTGATACAAGCTTCTCCTTCTAACGATGGAGCACGTTTCTGACCGCAGAGCAGGCTTAGAATATGCGAGTTTCTTTCTCAACTAAAGTGAAAAATTTCAGTCTGTTCCATACTAGTTTCAACCTATACTTCTCTGTTTTGAATAGATTCTACAATTATGATTATTATTTCAAAGCAAGTTTTTTCATCAAATCTGCAGGTGAGAAAGAAACTGTGTACTTTCCTTATCCCTGGGAGCTTTAGCTCTCCTTTTGTTATTGAAACTTTTCTTATATTAATAATAACTTTCTGATTATTTGTAATTCAATAATGATGCTCGCAGG